ATCACAGGGGACGAGGTGCAAAGCCTCCAGTATAATCACCACTTCGCCTCATTTCCCCCCAGACAGGTACCACTACCAAACGCCACCTCCTGAAGACACGACGTGATGTTTTAAAGCAAGCAGCTGCATTTCTTGTTTCCAACTACACTGCAGTAGCAAAGAAAATCTACTTTTCCTCACCTCTGCATCTACAGAAACCACGGGGGGTTCAGCGCTTTTAGGATAGGCAGCTCCAGGAGCTCAGCGATACGGTGGAGCTGACGCTCGGTGCTGGCCAGCAGTTATCTCACCTCTGCAGCCTATTTCTTTGCCTGTACTTCCAGCTCGCCAGCCAAACTCCTCCTGGTAAACACACAGGCACTGGTGGCTCTGCGCAAGGCCAGCTCCCTGCCCCAAACAAATGTATTCCTAGACCGACGACAGCCTGTTCTCAGCCCTGCCCTCAAAGCTGGGTGTTTTCTCCCTATCAGCCTGATGGGGAGAGAGGAGCCTTGAGCAAGAGCTGCAGAGCAGTCATGAGGGAGAGTTGCTCAGCCATACTTGCAAAGATGGATTAGCTCTGTAATACGTTTGTTAAATACAATCTCACAGACTACAGAAGCGCAGGAATACTGAAAGCAATTTCTCACCAGGTGTCTCGAACTCTTTGAAGATGTAAAAACTCGTTTACCACCACACATTTTAATAATTCCTTGCAAGTTCAGATGCTACCAGCTGTCAGTGTTTCAAACTGCAGTGCCTGTAACGCAGCTCAGGAAAGGAGGAAAAAAAAGACTTGCCTTTCAGAGGAGGCACCCACACTGCACTCACATACCTCGCATACACACACCAGCTGCCAAACATACTGTGCCACGAAGGTGCTGCTCCTATGTTGATGAACAAACACATCAATTACTGCTTACAGATTATACCATAAATGGTATTCTGAGCAAAGAGGTGTGTATATATACATATACACATACATACCTCAAACACTAACATACACTTCTTCTCACTTTGCTTTTCTTCAAAAAAAAAAAAAAAAAAAAAAACACACACACAAAAATAAAAAAAACAGCATCTGCTGTACTCTTCCTGTTTAGGTTTTGGAAAGGATTTTTTTTTTCCTTTAACAAGTACACAATTGAAACCCACACTTTTTTTTTTTTTTTTTAACAGTTCTGAGAATGAGTTTTACTGTTGTCACAGAGGTTAACCATTAACCATTTGCTTGTTGACCTCTCTCTGAAAACTAAAGCAGGGGCATTGCTTTCTCTTAACCTGCCGGGTAACGCTGCAGAACAACGCTGGAACTTCCCATCCCTGTTCCAACAAACATTTAACACAAGGAAAAATGACAGCTCTAAATATTAAACAACAACCAAGGCTAATGCTGAAGACAAATGCATGCAGGTGAAGCACAGAGCAGCCGTGATAAAGCTGGCTCCCTCCCCTCCATGTGGTAAAACAAGGCGACAGATGATTTCTGCACCTGAGTGGCAGACAGCACCTGGGGGCTGCTTCCCCAAATTGTCTGTGAACAAGTAGCTGGGGAAAATCTGCACAAGCAGTTCTCTTCTCCCCGTTAAAGCCTTTTACCCGAGCAAGGCAGCTCTGCCTTCGTCCTCCCCCGGTGACATCTCGGAGCGCTGTCTGCCCCAGCCAGTCGCTCCACCCCAGCGCTACGTGTGCCTTCTGCCCTGTATCATGGCCAAAACCAGCCCTGGGAGCCTGAGCTACAACACGGAGCACGGCCGCGCTTTTTTCATGGTGATGTACCGCAGGGAAAAAAAACCTCTGTGCCATGTTCAAGCCCGAACAGGATGAGTGCTTGCCTATAAATAGAGGTTAAACAGCCTCTGAGCTCCCCACCGCCCTGTACTTGCAGCTGGCAGGAGGAAGGCAGCCTGCACACTGTGGAAAACTCTCCCTCGCCTCCCTGTAGCCCACCACGACAGGAGGAACACAGTCTTAGCAGCTTCCCTATGTAGTTACTGAGGTCCCTTCGATAACATCTTTTAAAGGATTTAACAGCTTCATGCTCTCACTCACTGTGGCTACACACAGAAAGAAAAGGCCGAGGAGAACTGATGCGGTTCATGAAGAGCTCACTTCCTGCTATTTGTGCTGCATCCTGCACTTTCTCCTAAAAAGCAGCAAGAAGATGCCTCCCTCTACAACACAGATTCAGGCCCAGCAAGAATTACTCGATCTGAGGAAACGTTCCCTTCCATCGTCAGCAGCTGTGGACTGAAGCTCCCCAGGAGCCTGCAAAGCATGCTGCAGGGCAGCCAGGCATCGCATGCCAGAGAAAACCCAAGTGTAATTCTCCAGGAAGATCTTGGAGAAGTGCGGTGGATGTTTTAGCTTTCAACTTACAGGTAAGGTACACTTGGACACTGTTTCAGCCCTTCTTCACCTGCCTCAGCTGACTGGAATGCAGTATCACCAATACTCGCATCTGCCTGTATCAACAGGACCCACGAAACAAACATGTTATGAAACGTGTCTGTCGATCTGCCCTGGAAAGCTGCAAAACCACACGGAGCAAAAATCAAGCTGCATCATTCAAAGTGCCTCTTCCTTGGGAAAAAGCCTCGGCATCACTCCCTTTAGAAGAGACTGTTTCACTGCATTCACTGTGTTTTAAACGCAGGTACAGCCACAAGGGTTTTTTTGGCACATCATCTGCTCCTTTTTCTACCCGAATGAGTGGTCCAGCCCCGATCTGAGGTGCCTCTGGGGCCAGCTGCAGTGATGGGGCTGTCGGGGTGGAAAGGAGGGCTCCCCAGGGTGCTGCCCATCCTCACCCTTCCCTGCAGGGCCAGCTCAGAAGGAGCAAGGTGAGCCCAGCAGGGATGATGGCATGACACTGATTGCACGCTGCTTTGACTGTGCTGCCCTACAAAGATAAGGAAATGGAGTTGGTTCTCCTACCTGCAACCACGCTGAGCACATCCAAAGCCAAGTTTTACAACAAGCAGGAATTCTTAGATAAATACAGCGTTATTCTGGATGCTATCTATAATTTTAAGTGTAACCAACAGGGTCCACAGTTAATTTACAATGATTCTGACCAGCCCAAGAACAGCAGCCTACCTCTTCAAAAAAGCAGCTATGCATTTAAAGCTCCTCAGCTTGCGATTGCTGCAGCAGGGCTTGTTTTTTAATGAAGGAGGGAGCAGAAGAGAGCTGGGCTCCACCACCCGGCAAAGAAGCCACATTCTTGTGCCTCACTGACCTCTGCCTGGAGCTGTCACATTGACAGAGGGTCTCGGTCGGTCCCGCATACCTCGTGGGGGTCCTGCCATACCTCAGAGCAGCTGCATAGCACTGAGCATCATACTGTAGCCAACAAGACAGTGCACTTGTCCTTATTCTGCTCGACTCTGCTTCTGAATTTCATGGGTTCCCGAATACAGCACAAAAACCTGACAGAGGCTGTGCTGCCCAGGGACACTGCAAGCAGCAGATCAGCCGCATGTTCCAGAAGTGAGTGCACAAAGAGCTACAGCTGCAAGCCGACGGCTCAGCCAGCAACTTGAAAACAACCCCCCTACTTTCTACACAGAACAACCCGGACCGAGGGATGGTTTCTCCACCTAATGGTTCTGGATATAAGCTAATTACAGCAGCCAGTGGCAGAAGCTGATTCATCTCAAACAGCTAAAACAAAACACCCAACTCACCGTGTAATCCATTCTTAAGATTCAGTATGGAAGAAAAAAAAATGTTCCAGCACCCATTAACACATCAGTTTCTCGCTCATTACTACTGCAGTTTTTAAAATGCTGGTGAGCAGCAACAGGCACATTTTACCACCTGGTTTTCTTTACCCTTCCACCCTTCAGAACAAGGGAATCCAAACGCTATGGGAGCTGCGCTGGATCACAGCGCTGAAGCTGAAGGACAGATGCAGGATTTTCTTGCTGCCAAACCCACACCCTCCCCAGGCTCACATCCCCTGCACTAGCTGCGCATACTGAACACCCAACATGTGAGAAACAGCAAGCCCAAGCAGACGGAGGAGTGCCTGAAGACCTCATACCGAGCGATACCCAAACACTGTGGTGTTCTGTATCACACCACCTCATCAGTAATTTACTGAGCTTGCAGTTTTGTTTTTTTTTTAAGAAGAGATGCAAAACCAAAATGCTCGCCCACATCTTTCATCAGCTGCCTACCAGGGAGAACCCTCTGGCATGTTTTAACAAATTCATTCCAGAGACATTTGGCCTCTCCTTCCTATGCAGCATAACTCCAGTTATTTATTGCACATAGGCGTTCACCCCTTGCTGCTGAAGAAAAGCTTTTATGCACTCATACAGCACGTATCTGTTGCGGATACCACAGCCAACTTGTGCCCCCAAAAGAGGAGTATCACAGGCACTGAGCTTACTGCTAAACGCAGCCTCTCTCCTGCAAGAGATTCATTCCTGCTGCTCATTTTCACTCCTACTCCCTTTTAAATGTGTTTTAAAGCGATCAGCTTTAAACTTGAACGACGCACACAGGGGTTGCCTTCTTACTCACCGCACCAAAACGCTCTGACGCAGCTTCACGGCGTCAGAACTGTGCTCTGGGAGCGCTGCCTGGCCCCGGAGGGTCACACTGTGCCCTGGTGGGTTACAGATGGGGCTGGGGGCTGGCACCCAAGGGACGGCTGTGAGACCAGAGGCAGCCGGCCAGCCCCAAGCCTTGGGGCCCAGCCAAGCCCCAAGGCCAGGCAGCAGCGCTGGGGTTTACACCGGACCCTCTCTTGGCATGTGGGGCCTTGTAAAGCGACACACTGATAACACAGGCCGGTAAATCGTGCGAATCAAGGGGGAGGCAAAAAAAAAAAAAAAAAGAACAAACCAAAAAGCCGGAAAATCAAAGCTCGGTCCCTTTGTTAAGCACAACCCTGCCTCCATTTTCCTTCCTGCGCACCGGGCAGGCAGCCGGGCTCCCGAAGGATCCCCCCACACCCCAAAAACCCCTCACAGCCCCCTCACACCCCCCAAACCCCTCACAGCCCGTACCTGGAGTGCGCAGCCATGGCGGAGCTCAGCGCCGGGCCCCCATGCGGCGCCGCCTCAGCCGCCGGCCGGCGCGGGGCCCCTCGGCCATTTGGCGGCCGCCCGGCAGCTGCTCCTCAGCGCCCCGCTGCCGGGGCTGGCCCCGGCTCCCCCCCCCCGCCCCACGGCCGGGCCCTCCCCCGGCTCCTCGCACCGCCCGGCGGCGGGGAGGATCCACCGGGAGCCCCCGCTGCCGCTCGATGTCCCCCGGGGGAGGCTGCGGGGCCCCCCCCGTTGTCGCCGCCCGGCTCCGCCCGGCCCCGCGGCGGGCAGCGAGCGGGGGGCGCCGCGGCCCGGCCGCCGCCCCTAAGGGCGAGCCGATGCCCCCCCGGCCCCCCCCCGCGGGAGGGGCGCTGTGGTACGGCCCGGCCCGGCCGCTAATGGAGGCGCGGGGGGCGGGCGGAGCGACTGGAGGCGGGGCGGGGGGGGGCCCCGCCTCAGCATGCCAGCTGTGGCACCGTGTGGAGATACCGGGTGTTCAGCGCCTGTCCCCAAAACACGACCGGTTTAGGTCAAGTGGCACCGAGGATGGAGGCTCTCCAACCCCTCTGTGTCCATCTTCATCTTCTCTACCAGGACACTCACCTCCCTTAAGTGGCAAAACCTGGGTTCAGCGCGATGGACATGACCAAAAAGTACAAAAAAAAACCCAACAAACTGCAGTTCTCAAAATTTGTCTTCTTTTCTTCGTAGGGCTTGATCACACCATTTAAAATTATGACTTAAGAAAGTATATATACGTAAATAATCCCACATCCTCATCTGTCACTCCAAGGAACTTCATTTTTCCCCTAAGAAAATAATAATGCCAAGAAGGGCATTTCTCTTCAGAGAAAAGGATATGGTTCACTGCTGCTGGAAAGTTCTAAGGATGTAAGCATAACCCAAAGCACCGATAATTAACCATACTGTTACTGGCACCAGGACTGCACACCCAGACAACGTTTTAGAGGGGCTTTCCCCCCAGAAAGATTGCCCTAGAGAGTTGTACATATAACTGTTTGCTGCAATTTCTGCTGAAGAGATTAGGAAACGGGGAAAAGGGGAAGAGATGCATTTACTTTTTAAAGAGTATCTACATTTTTTCAAGTCAAGTACTTAAAATTTCATTGAACCATCCTCATGCAAGCAACAACAGAACCTTTTTTTTTTTTTTTTTTTTTTTTGCAAGAAGGGGTACTACGCAGAGAAAGGAAACGAGCTGAAATCTATCTCAAAGTTTCATCTCTGAGTGTGCACAAAGAGGCAATCCCATTACTTTGATTCGACCCTGCAGAAAGCCCGTGATGGAGATGGTGGTGGTCAGCATTCCTCTCTCCAAGCCCTACACTTCAGCTGCTCACCCACAAGAAGGGAATGCTGAGTACTCCAGGCTCCTCAAGTGCTTAGGGAAACATCAAGACTCGGACCAAATGTCAGATCTGCTTGACTAGAAATGAATTTGGACCTGGGCCCACAGTCCAGACTACATTTCCAGATGTTTAATGCAAGCCAGGCGACACAGCTTCTAAGCAATTTGTCAAAGAAGACCATTAAATGAAAGGGTCATTTTCCTTCCTGTGAGACCAAGTACAAATTTTCTGAAGACACGCCTGGATGCTCCAGTCCTGTATGAAGAGACTCACAGCAGCAGTAAAGGATATCTCAAGCCCCTTGCCTACACTTAACCAGGCTGGAACCTGCTCTGTGTTGAAGACAATTTTGAGAATTAGATACTTACAGGCTTCCTCTTTGTCTTCAATACCAAACAAAGCTTTTGCCTGTCCGCACTGCACAGACAGACCGCTTAAGAAATTTTAAGAAATGTCATTTGTCAAATTACAGACAGAGCTGCTGTCTGTTTTAAGGCCCTGTTTGGCTGTTCATAGAGCTTCTCTTAATCCAGATAGTACAGGCTAAAGATTTCCATAAAGGTTATCTCCCTGAAGATTAAATACAATCCATTTCAGCCCTTTTGGGCATAACAATAGATGACAAAAATACATATATACTCTTGCCAGAACAGCTAAGCTTTTTTTCCAGGAAAGAATCATCACAAACAATATGCTTTGTTTGCACTGAAAGTTTCTAGCAGTTTTCTGTCCTTTTGCTTGAGAAGCACTTGTTGATTCCTACCTTGTGCAAAGGCATTGATGTTTAACAGGGTGATGGCCTTCCAGCATGGCTGTGCCGTGGTGAGGCACTGGCACAGGTAGCACAGAGGCTCTCCGAGAGAACATGGCAGGAGAGAGCCCTCCATACATCACTATCCAACATTTCTGCCCTCCTTGCATCTCATGAACGTCCATGAGAGCCGCTGAGCCAGGATAACAGATGCCTACCACCCTTCAGGCTGCCAGGTGAGGATGCCTACCACCAGTTTCTTCAAAGCACAAAGCAAAGCCCTTTGCTGAGCTCTGAAGAGGCTGCAGACCTGCAGGTCAAGCAAAAGGATGACTGTATAACACCATGGTGCAGGAATGCCAGCCTAGCAGCTGGCTTTATTTTTTAATTGAATTTACACTGTGATGAAAAGGATGCTATTATTTTTTGCAAAGGTGAGCGCTTCAAATTTAAGAAATGACAGTATCACTGATGCCTAGGCAACAATATGAATGAGTCTTTTAAGACATGGCCACGAACCATACAGATCCCACTGCCAGTCCTCAGGACAAAGCAATCCTAACGGTGTCCTCCTGTCCCCAAATTGGCATCATGCTGAATTTGGCTTGACAGTGAATTCAAATAAAAAGCGTACAAATATCAGCCTTTAAAAAGATGAAAAAAGTCACCACAATGTCATGCAATGCATAACCCCTGGGCAGAGCTTCCAAGTAACATCAATACTCAAATAATTTGAAGCCTCAGTGCAAAAATTGCACAGCACAGCTGGAGAACACCAGGGTCCTGCTGACTACTGGACCAGAGGAATAACACAACCAGGAACTGAAGCAGGAAAGGACTGCGAGATGTAGGACGCTCGCACTGTGCTTCCCCTAGTGCTGCTCACAGTTAACTTGCTACTTCTGACTTGCAGAGTGGTTTGTACTCCCTTCCGAGGAAGATATCTCTGGGGAAAGAAAGGGGAAAGAATACTGGAAGTGACGTGTGAAAACAACATTTCAAGCTTGGTGAAGAAATAAAAGGGATTTTAAAAGAAAACAGAACTGAACATGTTCTTTCTCAATGCTGTAAATTAACAAGGAAGATAGCAAACTGCTCAAGCACATCTTAGTCCTTTCAGATTTTCTAAAACATCTCAACAATCCTACTTGTGCTTCCTGGGGTTTTCCAAAGAAGCCAGGCAGGACAGGGACTTGCTTTCTACCAACAGCGACGAACAATAATTCCTGAGCTGTGCTGGCATCCACTTTCCATGTTAAAGGAAGGAGAGGGGGGCAGAGCACGGAACAGCCCACCCAGAACAAAGCCTCACAAATCCCACACCACAAGAGTTTCATGTGAAGCGAATGCCATTATGATGCTATTTTTTAAGTTTCAAACTCACAACCCAGGGGACGTGCGAGAGGCCCTGCATTCCCAGCCTCTGGCTTCTGGCTCACCAGCTGCCCTAAAAACAAGATTGTGCCATTCCGGTTGGAAGACTTGATGAAAACCGATAAGTTCCTGTGGAACATTTCAAGTCCAACAAATCAGTGGTTCCCCGAAGAAAGCTTTCTGTCCGAGTACATCCTGTCAGCTGTAGAGCCCTCCCTTACATCTGTTTTCAAGATTAGCAGGCTGCAGCTTTTCCCCACCTGTTTTTTTATTCACCCACCAGGGTTACAAGTTTCCCCTTTTCAAGTCCTTGTCTCTGAAAAACACATTCCGAGCCAAGGAAACAGTCTCCGTGAGGTGAAATGCAAGCAGAACAAAACAATAAAATAAGCTTTTCATACTCCATCTCATCACACGCTCAGGAATGCACTTCTGAGGTTAAGAGCAATACTTCTTAAAAACATCACAGGAAAAGCTTCCTACAGGTGATCACAATTCAACAAGTATTTAAGCTATTTAGCAGCATTTCAATACTAGAAGATCCACTCTTATCTACCTACAGATTGAATGAGAATGGATTTCTCCAGAGATGAAGCTGGTGATTAAACATCGCACAGAAATGCAAATCCCACTGAACAGCAAACGAAGCTGCACAGGCAACCTAGATGCCATCATTTCCTAATTTTGAATTCCTGAAAATGCCAGACTGCTGACCTCAGGCACCAAGGGTAAAACACAGGATGCGGGTACATTACGTGCATTTTATACATGAAGCACCGCCTCCTCCAGCCATTTACCTAGCAGGATCCACGGGTGCTGACCCAAAGGAAGCTGACATGTATAGGGAAAAAAAGAGGCTCAGATGTTTTGAACATAAAGCGACATTTTCAGCTAAAGTGCAGAGGCTGAGAAGGGCCCAAGACAGTACCTACAGCATCGTCAACAGGATTAAAAATCAGTGCTCCTACTGCAGGAAGAGCATTCTCTCTCAACCCGCCAGTAACAACACCTGCCATACCTGAGTATCAGTTCCATACTGCTCAGTTCACACATCCATAGATTTTGAAAGACATCACGTGGCATTTTATCTTCAGCTTTGTTAATCCATTAAACCTGTTCCTCCTGAAGCACCTAGAAGCTTTCCACATCTTCACAAAACTTCAGGAAGACAATTTTACATTATTCTTTTTTTTAAGCTGCTATGAAGTTTAGTTGCTGCAGGGCCTTTTCTGCTATAACATCTTTCAGGGGGCAGGGTGGGTATGTATGGGGATTCTTCTAGATTTTATTAAAGAAATCTTTACATATCTTTGTTTTCAAGAAGTGTTAAAAAAAAGTGGTGGTGGGGAAAGAACAAAAGAAGCAAAAATGTTAATGACAGCAATTGGTACCTAATTTCTGGTGCAAGAATCCAACAAATACGGATCAGAGACTGTCCAAATGGCAATACAGCATCCCTTACTCAGGAAAAAAAATGCAATAACACATTAGACTAATAAATGTGTGATAATCCATTATGTTTGTGTGACAAATCCCAGAAGCTTACACTATTGCAAAACAGTTCAGCAAGCACAGAGTGAATACAGGAGTAGATACCATACTGTATTAAAATCATTAGACACTACATGGCCTGTAAGCTTTCCTCAAGTATCACATTTGCTGTAAAATAAACCATAGGCTTGTTTACACCCAGAAATAGGTCAGCTTCCTGCCCTACCAACCTTTTCAAAACATCT